AAAGCTAGGAAGCTGAAATTTTGTGGTTATGTCCCCGTCCACATAGAGTTTAAAGGTTTCGAATTCAGCCCCTAAATGAGCGTGGTTCCCGCATATGGCCCCGTGAGGGTTTCTGGCGGGAAAATCGCTAACTCAGGAACCAGGAGAGCTGGAGGGCTGAAATTTCCAGGGAATGTTTCCAGCATTAGTGTAACTTAGAATTATCAAACTCAGCCCTTCAGTGTGTGCGGTACTCACGTGCGGCCCCGTAAAAATTTTTGGTGGGAAAACGGCTGACTCCGGAACCAGGAAAGCTGGGGAGCTAGAGTTTTTAGAGAATATTTCAAGCACAAGTATAACTTATAATTATTAAATTCAGCTTCCGAGTATGTGCGGTTCTCACGTACGGCTGCGTGAAATTTTTTGGCGCAAAGATGGCTAACTCAGGAACCAGGAAAGCTGGAAAGCTGAAATTTTCAGGGAATGCTCCCAGCCCTTGTACGACTTAAACTTATCAAACTCAGCCTTCGGGCTTGCGTGATTGTCACGTACGGCTCCGCGTGAATATCTGGCTGGAAAATTGCTTACTCAGGGACCAGAAAATTTGGAAAGCTGAAATTTCAACGAAATGTCCCATGTCCAAATACCGCGTAGACAATTAACTTCCCGGACTTCGAGGGCCAGTATATCACACATTTCTAGCTACTGGGTTTCCGATCGATCTCATTACAGCACGAAATGTTGCAAAAACGCATGATCGCATGGACGCGCCCGATGCGCGTTGCCAATGACTTGCATGAAGCCAGGTCGTTTTTCCGGTATATGTTCGTCCATTGGAAAAATGCAGATGTAAGGGAAGCCCAAGGAGGATTATGAAATCTGCAAAATGCACTGGTTTTAGAGTTTGCGATAAAATTGAGTATTTGTCGTGCCTGCGTGCATGGAATTTCACCTCCAATCTGAATCAAGATCACGCTTGAATATAGAATATCTTGCGAGCAGCTTCGCAGCTTGTCTGGTAAGCGGAATAGCCATTTCGCTACAAATATCTTTGATGTGCCTTCGTGGCGCAGGTGCAAATCGAAACTCAGTTTAGGTGTGCGATTTCCTATATGAGAAAAATTTCAACTACTGTTTTTCGGCTAATTTTCGAGTTAACACAGTGCCAAATTCGAGCTTTGATGTGACCGTATGTATGCGTGGTATAAGCGTGCGCGGTAGCTGAATTTGAAACCGTTAACTCACACATGCGCAGAGAATATCCCTGCAAGTTTCAGCTTTCTATCTTGTTTGGTTCATGAAATCGCTTTCCGCCAAAGAAATTTGTATATTTTTTTCGGGAGGGGGGGTCCGTAAGCGAGATTTAGGCGCGCAAAAGCGAAGATTTTAAAAACGGAAGAGTGAAACATGGGGTGGGAATATGACCGCCGAATTTCTGCCTCTCAGCTTTCCTGGTTGCTGAGTTGAAAATACGTGACGAAGTCCAGTCGCTTCTGAACATATACACGACGACCTCTTAACAATATGCGTTTTGCTCGCTGTGGCAAAGACGCGTTTTGTCGAGAGGTTCCCTACATGTGTGTGTGTGTGTATGTGCGTGTGCGTGTGTGTGTATGTGTGTGTGTTCGAAGGCGAGTGAACTTTGTCACCTAACCGGGAAGCTAGAAAACTGAAATTCTAAGGGCACGCTTCCACGCCAAATGGCACCCTCCCGTTTTAAAATCTGCACTCAAGCACGACTGGGTTTCACAGTGGATGTCTGAAAAAGATTTTTTGGCGGGGAGCTTTTTCGGGAAATAGAGAAGATAAAAAGCTGAAACTTTGCGAGAGTGCTCTTTGTCATGCTTGAGCTAAAAGTTTCAAGTTCAGTTATTAGGCACGCCTGCGTCATGTGTACGATCATGCCAAATTCCGTAGTTGGCGCCGTACTAGCCCGAGAACTAGCCGGAAAGCGATAGCTGTAATTTTGTCGGAATATTTATTGCCCATTTGGGGACTAGTATGCCTACATAGAGTTTCGAACTGCACTTTTGTCACGCCTTAGGGTACGTTAAAGATATAGCAAAAGTGACGATTTGGAGTACTGGACAAGCTAAAAAGCTGAGATTTTACAAGAATATTCTACATCCACGTGCTGTCTAAATTCACCTTAGAGGCTAAGTTTCATGTTCGTGGGTACGACAAATGCTCAGTTCTATCTGTCTCGCAAACGAATGCATTTTTGCTCGGATTTTTTTACTCTTCCCCCTGCACGCCCTGCTCATCCTTTATTTTGCATTTTCACTGAACAGTCGGCAGCAGCAAATTTTCCAGTTGCTTTCATGCAATTAATTATGCGTCCTGGAGCATTAGATTTTACGTGGCTTCGATACAACACTACCAGCCAACGCTGTTCTTCCCTGCATACACGAAAAACCAGAACACTGCCGACGTGAGTGCACGTTTTAAACTTTTAGAGCACAGGTGGGCAGCTGGTGGCCCGCGACACGTTTTAATCCGACTCTTTCAAGGAATCGGAATGTAGTGCCTAACTAGACGAACGGGGTTTGTACTCCGCCTCTCCACTGCACTGTCATGAAAGCAAATAACTGGCAAACGCACGGGCTGCCCGTGCGAAGATGTGTTTTTTGCATAGTTCCCCGCAGTTTTTGTTGCTACCGGCACCGGCTTTTTCGGCAAATGCTTCTAGCTAAACAAATTAAGACTGGCCTCAAAACTAGCAGGAAACACCCCCTTAAAATTTCAGCTTTCTAGCTTTCCTGGCTCCTGAGTTAGCAATTTACTGGAAAAAATTTTTCACGAGCCCGCACTCGGGTACCACGCATACCCGATGTCTGGGTTTGAGCTCGTCGAGACTTACTCGGACAGGGAACATCTTCCAGTCTTTTAGCCTTACAGGTGCTCGAGTTATGAGCTTATCTGGGAACTTTGGTGAACCCGTGCGTAGGAACCATGCATGACCGAAGGCTGGGTTTGATCTCGTTGAGACTAATGTGGACGAGAAACACCCTCTTAATGTTACAGTCTTCTAACATCTCAGGTCCTCGAGTTATGAATTTACGCGGGGAAGGTTTTGGCGGGCCCGTACTCGGGAACCACGCTTACCCGGGGGTTGGCTTTGAGCACATTAGCACCTACTAGGACGGGGAACATTCCCATAAAATTTCAGCTCTCTAGCTTTTCTGGTTCGCGGGTTATGAATCTACGCGGGAAAATTTTGGCGGGCTCGTACGCGGGTACCACGTTTATCCGGGGGTTGAGTTTGGGTTCACTAGTACCTGCTTGAACGGGGAACATTCCCATAAAATTTCAGCTCTCTAGCTTTTCTGGCTCGCGAGTTAGCAGCTTACCCGTAGAAAACGTTGGCGGGGTCTTACGTGGGTACCACGTGGGAAAGACCGCCCATTTTGGGGATAGGGGCCCGTACG